GTTGTGTGCTTTTCCATTCAACCATCAAAACAAGTCGAAGCCAACATTGCCGGACATGGTTCGATAACCGTTTTTGATTTTTACGTAGGATACCTGTTTCCATATCACGCAACAGCCGCAGAATGTTTAACAGCAAAAGCGAAGGCATATCTCCATGGCAAATTCCACAGTTTATGGTGAAGCGCATACATATCTCAAAAATTATGGCAACAGAGATAGTTCCTGCATATAACTTTCCTAAAATGGAAAAGGTATATAGAAGAATGATACTACCAAAAGATAGTTATTAATCAGTGCAAAGAAAAAAGAGACGAGTCGATAATTCTATGATTGTGAAACCAGGACACAACGAAATTTTCTATGATATCGCTTCATGGGAAAGGTGTGATGCGTAGTGCGAGAACAAAAATGCCATATGCAGACGGTGAAAAACGCTGAAAAACAAAAAAATGACAATTTAATCGTGAAATATTTTCTGTTACTTCAGGATTTACACGATGTAAGCGCATCATGGGGCAGGGCCAAACAAAAATCTGTTTAGATACCTGACGAAAAGCCACAATACTAATAAACAAAAATTCTGACCGGTGATATCAAAAACTAGCAGTTTTACTAGTAAACACAGATGTGTGCTTATTCTGATGTAATGTAATAATTTATCGAGCGATTGACCGATATGAACGTTTCTGCACATTTCAAGGAACCCTTTTAATTGACAATGCGGAATCACATATATATGTATATATAAATTTTCAATGACGGAGTTCCTTCAATAAACCTGTGTCATTTCTTTACAAGGCACCGTTTCCCAACCGCCTTTTTACTCTGTTGAGCTACAATTGCTATTATAGGCTCTTCCTTGTGTTTAATAATGCTGTCAAACGGAACAGTGTGCAGCGGCTTTGCTCTGGTTCTCTGAGTAATTTTTCGGGCGTCCAATAAATCTCCGGAGCGATACCGCCAGATTATATCAGGTACTAATGAATTTTTCCACCGGCGGAATTAACAGTTCAATCGATTTTTTCTAAGATTTCGGACAATTTATCACCCAAAGTCTCTCGTTCGGACTAACGCTCCAAAGTATCTCATTGAGAAACCAAGGTTAATTAGTCGGTAGAGCGTCAGATTCGATACCCGATCAGGGCGTTCAGTTTTCTTCCGTTCCAGATAGCTAAGTAAGCGCCGCTCTGTAGGAAATCACAAGAGACCGCCCACTTTGCTTTCCAGATAGGCGAAAACAATGCGGCTATTGAAAAAATAAAACGGAATCGGAGATCAGTTTGGTTAAATGTAGGGTACTGCAAATTATCTTAAATAATCATGAAAGTTTAAGGATGACCGAAATCCTGAAAGTTGCCAATCTTTTTCTTTCTTCTACTTTTGGAGAATATGTGCTTAGACGTATTACGATGTCTGTA